CAGTTAAATTTTTAGCACAATGTACAGCAGCCACTGGCAACAGAGGTGTTTGCCTTCCCGGATACTGTTATTGTTTTTGATACTGCCCTGGACTTGAGGCTTTTCATTTAAAAATTCCTTTCTTATCTCAAGATCAGTTAAATCACTACTTAGTTTTTATTCTATCTTTTATCTTTTTTCTTTTACCTTTATCTCTATAGTAAATCCATCTGGAATTTATGCGAGGCAAGGCCCGAACTTGATGTTTTCTCCCCAAATACCAATATAGCTTTCTCAACAATTATTTAAAAATTCCTCTATTCCTCACTGATTTGTGAAGCTTCCTTTGGCTTGTTTTAAGTTATCATATGTCTAGGATCTTACTCAGTATTATCTGCTCTAAAACAATGACCTGTCAATTTTTATGCCAGTATCACATCATTTTAGTATAAATTTAGAATACATTTGGGTATTTTTTTTGTTTGAGCCAAGACTGCTCTTTTTTGTAATCCCAAGCTATTCTTATTCATTTGTTTCTCCCAATAAACTTTAGAATTATTCTGTCAAGTGAACAAGAACTAGTTCTTATTTATCTTTACTTTTTACATATCACGATGGCACTTGGTTAACTCAAATGCCCTATTACAGCTGATAACAAATCCACTGCTTCTTAACAGAATTATTTGTCAGAAAAGATTCAACTTTACCCATGAATCTAGAGGTATGACCTTGTCCAATTTCATGTTCTGTTTCTGGAAAACTGTTGCGATTTGAATGAAATCTTGCTACAAATGACAGGGCCTTGTTACATGCCTCTCCACATTCAACAGGGCTGCTCCCCACTCCTGGAAGCCTGACAGAGTTCATTATCCTTTCCTCCTCAGTGGTGTCTATTATATGTGTAAAGGTTATGCCTTCCTCAAACTGTACCAACCTTTCTTATAGACTCTCATTTCTCTAGGCCAACTGTCCAAGAGCTGCATCAACATTAACTTTTAGTCACAACTTCCCCTGCATTACTTTACTTCCATGAGAGGTATCTTATACCTATAGTTAGCAGAAGCAAATGAGTTTAGACTCCTAGTACCCAATTAGGCCACAGTTCAACACTGCTACCCAGTCTTCACCTGACATTGCTGAGCAATGCAGTGTTTAGGATAAGTTAATCTTCATTTAAAGTTGAATTTTAAATTTCCAACCAGATTTTATGTTAATTTTTAAGACTGTATTTTTCCACCATTTTGTCTTTTAAAGAGCATAGGAAATGGGAGTTGGAGAGACTTGGGTTCAAACTCTTAACACTACCCATTACTAGCTATGTAACCTTTGCAAGTCACTTCTCTTTGAGCCTTTGTTCCCTCATCTATAAATGGAGATAAATAATATTTACATTTTAGCACTATTATGAGGATTAGTAGCATTGTACACAAAAGGCTGACTTAGCACATTGCCAGGTACATAACATGTAATATTATAGAACCTGTTCTTGATGATTTTCTGAACACTGATTATTGCCTTGTGCTTTATTAATGAACTTATATGGGTTACTGGTTTATACAGGGCAGTTTCCCCTATACTACATGGGTTCTTAGGTCTTTTTAAGAGTAATATTTGTACCTTTTTCCCTAAAAAAGGCAGCTTTTAAGCTGCCACTTATCACTGCTGTCACTGGGGCTGGTTCTAAGAATAGGTCCTACTCCTCGTCTCACCTCCCTTACAATTTGCTGCTTCTGATCTGTTGTACACTGTAAAATCAGATAACCAAATTGTCAGAAATGTGTCTAAATTAAGAATAAATAGGTTGAGCAGGAGGCTATAGGGTTTTCTTCAGGGAAAGCATATGGAACCTATTAGAATATTAGAGCATAGTCTTTGTGATAGCTATCAGGGCTATTCATAAGCCATTCTTATTTTCATGTTCCTGGAAGTGTTTCAAAAAATCCAGAGAATCAAACATATGGAAAAATGAGCTATTACTGTACTTTTGAGAATAAAGGTAAATAAAACAGGTAATTCCAGAGTTAATATGTGACAATGCAGGGCTGTGGCCCAGAAACATGTTAGAAGCTTGGAGGAATGAATCCTGTCATTATTCTAATTGGGAAGACTTCTTAAGTCACCAATTTTAATCTCAAGGCAGTTAGAAAATTAACAAATATTAAGCATCTATTATATGATCGGGCCCCTATATGCATTACCTCAATCCTCAAACAGCCCTGAGAAATAAGAATTATTATACCCATTTATGGTAAGGGAATGGATGTTCTAAAAGGTTAAAATGACTTATCCAAGCTGTAAAGTCCCAAAGCCAGAGTTCAAACTAAGGTCCATCCAATTTCAAAGGTCAGTGCTCTGTAACCCTTTGATGACTTGTTGAGACTGACTTCTTCTCTGCACAAAAATTTACTTCCTCTACATCAGCAAATAAACAATGAGAAAGTGTAATAGAAAACAGAATGTCATCCATAATCACTACAATATATATCAAGTACCTAGGACTTTAAAACGCAGAAGACCTCTATGGAAAAGAAACTAACTCTACTAAGACATAAAGGAAGAGGTAAACTATGATCTCTGGATGGGAGCACTTAACATGATAAAGATGTCAACTCTCCCCAAATTAATCTATTAATTCAATTCATTGACCAAAAACTCCCAACAAGATTTTGTGGAAACTGGACTAATTCTAAATTATATGTGGAAGAATAAAGATCACATGGTTCAGAAACAGTTAGTACACATCTGACACAAGAAAAGTACAGAGTGGAGATTTGCCCTACCTGATATTAAGGCAAATTAAAAACCTATAATAATTGAAACAATGTGATCCTGGCCAGAGATCAAATAGGCAATGGAAAAAAAACGAATCCAGCAATGTACTCATGAATATATAGGAATTTGGTACATAAGAAAGGTGGTAATATACATCAATGGAGAAAGAAGAGATCATTTAATAAATGCAGTCGGGAAAACTAGCTTATTATGTAAAGAAAATGAAATCACCTTTCTTACAGAATATACAGAATAAATACGTATTATATTAAAGACCTGACATGGAAGGCAACATTATAAAACTATTAAAAAATGTAGAAAAGTATCTTCATGACACAAGGGTAGGAAGAATTTATTAAATAAGAGCTCAAAAGCACACACCACAAGGGTACAAGTTGAAGGGTGTGATAAAACCAAACTTAAATATTTCTTGGTTGGGGTGAAGTATACTGATGTCTGCAACTTATTTGGAAATGCATCCAAAAGGATGGATAAATGGCTGGCTAGAGGTGGACAGATGGACAGTTATATAGGATAAAGCAAGTGTAGCAAAAAATTATAGAATCTAAGTGGTGGTCATATGGGTATTCACCATACTGTTCTTCCAACTTTTCTGTGTGTATGAAGTTACAACAATAAAAAAGCTGGTGAAAATGAAACACTTCTGTGTTCAATAAAATATTGTACATAGTTTTTAAACTGTGACTGGAAAATATATTTGATATACACACACAGATACAGAAATGATATTTGCTATATACGTATGCATATACACACATTTGACAAGAAACTTCTGTGATCGGCAAGAAAGACAAGTAACCTAAGAGAAAACTTGCAAGGTAAAATAAATAGGCACTGCAGAGAATGAGAAAACAAATGGTTAATATGTATAAAGCAGAAGCTCACCTCATCTATAGTCAAAGAAATGTAAAGTAAAATAAAAGGTACAACTTGAGGGGTGCCTGGGTGGTTCAGTGGGTTAAGCGTCTGACTCTTGGTTTTGGCTCAGGTCACAATCTCATGGTTGTGAGATCTAGCCCCCGTCCAGCCCCCTGGTGGGCTCTGCGCTTAGTGCAGAGTCTGCTTCAGATTCTCCCTCTGTCCTTCCCCCACCCCTCTCTTAAACAAACAAACAAACAAATAAATAAGTAAATAAAATCTTTAAAAAAAGATACTACTTGAAGTTCACTGGACTGGCAAAAATTAAGAAGTTATGTGGTATCAGTACTGGCAATACTATGAAGAAAGAGAAACGCTTACGTGTTGTTCACAGGACTATATATTAGTACAGAAATGATCTAGAGCAACTTGGCAATATGTGGCAAAAAAATATATATACATATCTTTTTTTATTTTAGATTTTATTATTTATTTGAGAGAGAGAGTGAGCGAGCACATGAGCAGGGGTTGGGGGAGAGAGGCAGAGGGAGAGGGAGAAGCAGGCTCTCCACTGAACAGGGAGCCCCATGTGGGGCTCGATTCCAGGACCCCATGATCACGACCCGAGCCGAAGGCAGACACCTAACCAACTGAGACACCCAGGCGCCCCCCTATATGCATATCTTATAGGATCCAGGAACTCTACTCCTGAGCATATACTTCAGATAAACTGACACAGGAACACAAAGAAACAAAGACATCTATGAAGGTATTTCCTGCAGCACTGTTTGTAACACTCAAGAACTGGAAAACAATAAATATTGTGTGACATTACTATCTGATGGAACATAATCCAGCAGTCATGAGGAATGAACCATGTATGAATATGGATAGATCTCAAAAATAACAGAGTGAAAAAAATAAGAAATAGAATGAGATGTAGAGCACCTTCCATGTTAAAAAAGAGAAAAAAATCTACACATACAAATAACACTATAGACTCTGCAAGGATACACTTATGTCTAAATAAATACATGGAAAATGGCTTGGAAGGACACACACCAAATACCCAAGAGTGGATAACTACAGGAAGAGAAGGGAATTAGATCACAAATAAAGACTGAAGGGGACAAAAACCAAATATAAAACCAAATATAAAAGTTCACGAAGATCATGCGTGAACTGATGTTGACAGAGGATCATGAAGTGAGGAGACTGTTGTAGCAATCAATTTCAGTGTTTCTGAATTCTAAGCTAAACATAAAACAAAAACCTCCCCATCCCAAAACACCATTAAAACACATGCTTAAAGGAAATGTGAAAAAAGTAAAAGAGAAATGAACTGGTCACCTCCCTGTCACATGTCTTACCGGAGTACACAGCACATGAGCAGCAGATGGGTTGGGACATTAGCTGGATTGAGCATACTGGGTGTATCTGACTTCATACAGGCCAGGAAGGCCCGCATCCTTCTGTTCTTGTCCTCGACTGCTTTGCCTAGCCAGAGCTTCTTGAGGTTTGGGCAAGTCCATTCCCGAAATGTCAGTGCAGACACCAGCTCAGGGGTTTGAGGTGACTTCCCTTTATAGGCAGACCACTCTTTGAGGATCACTGAAGGAACTGGAAAGCAGAAATTGAGGAAAAACAGGCTCTAGAGAATGTCTGAGCATTTCTGCAACTGGCCACAGTTGACAGGATCTGTCACATTTCAACAACTTTTTTATTTTTTGTTGTAATTTTTATTGTTAGCAGTAGTAACAGAAGTAGTAAACACTTATCAGATGCTTGATATGTTAAGAACTTTACATATAAATGTAAATCTCATTTACTTCTCAGAACTCAGAACTCTAATCCTGAGAGAGAAGTATATCTATTTTATCATAAAATATAGTGTTCATTTTTCAGATGAAGAAATAAAGGCTCAAAGTCACACAGTTAATTACACAGAAACTCATTTAAGTAAATGTACCAGGCTAGTAAGGAAAGAAGTCCAAGGAAGAATTACATAAATATCTGGCTTCATAACAGACCATGGGACACTCCAAAAGATTTCTAAAAATTTCACAAAATTCTCCAAAAACCAACATCTTTTAGATTTTTGAAGGTTTAACAGATGAGGAAAACATGGCTTCTGTCTACTTCTGGTATACCTCAGGCTCTTAAGCTATGGCTTCTTTTACTTAAGACGTCAAGCATCTACTCAATTACCCAAGCTAGAAACCTGGAAGTCATCCCACAGTCTGCATTCTCGTTCACCTCCTACACATCTGGTTATTTCCAGGGTCCTGCTGATTCTATTACTTTATTATCCTTTATATCTGTTCCCTTTTCTTCATCACAACAAATATTGCAGAGGTTCAGATCTCATCACCTGACAAGAGCTTCCAGACTGCTGTCCCTGACTTCATCCTGTCTGGTCTACTTCATATGCATGCTCCACAACTGTGACAGTGCTCTTTTTAACAAAATTTTTAATTTGAAATAATTGATTTACAAGGAGTTGCAAAGATAGTTGAGAGAGGTCCTTTGTACCCTTTACCCAGGTTCCCCCAAAGGTTGTATCTAAAACAACTGTAATATCAAAGCTAGGGGGGTGCCTGGGTGGCTCAGTCGTTAAGTGTCTGCCTTCAGCTCAGGTCGTGATCCCAGGGTCCTGGGATTGAGCCCCGCATCGGGCTCCCCGCTCGGCGGGAAGCCTGCTTCTCCCTCTCCCACTCCCCCTGCTTGTGTTCCCTCTCTCGCTGTGTCTCTGTCAAATAAATAAATAAAATCTTTAAAAAATATATCAAAGCTAGGAAGTTGGCATTGGTATAATTGTGTGTATAGTTCTATGTCGCCGGTAGATTTGTAGAACCACTACTGCAATCAAGATACAGAACTATTCAATTACCACAAAGATCTACTTTATGCTACCCCTTTTATGGTCACACCCAATGCCCCACAGCACCATCCCTAATCCCTGGCAACCACTAATCTGTTCTCCATCCCTACAATTTTGTCAATTTGAGAATGTTATATAAATGGAATCAACTATATAGTATACAACCTTCTGAGATTGGCATTTGCACTTGGCATAATGCCCTTAGGATCCTTCCATGTTGTTGCACATATCAATACTTTTTTTGCCAAGTAGTATTCCATGGTATGGATGTACCACAATTTAACCATTCATCTTTTGAAGGACATCTGGGTTGTTTCCAGTTTGGGGACATTATGAATAAAATCTTCTATGAATATTTGTTTATTAGTTCCTGCATGAAAATAACTCTTCATTTCTCTGGGATAAATGCCCCAAGGTGTAAGTGCTGGGTTGCACGGTAAGTCTATTTTGAGTTTTGAAAGGAAATGCCAAATTATTTTCTAGAGCAGTGGTACCATTTTACATTCCTACCAGCAATTTATGGGTGATCTAGTTCCTCCACATCCAATCCAGCATGCTGTATTAACACCATTATTCATTTTAGCCATTCTGATAGGTATGTAGTTATATCTCGTTGTGGTTTTAATTTGTAATTCTTTAATGGTTAATGATGTTAAATATCTTTACATGTCTTTATTTGCCACATGTATAATTTCTTCAGTGAAATGTCTGTATTCTTTTGCTCATCTTCTAATTGGACTGTTTTCATAATGCTTAGTTTTCAGAGTTTTTTATATATTTTAGACAGTAATCTAGATGTGTGCTACTTGTTCACCTATGGATGTCCAATTCATCTAGTACCATTTGTTAAAAGGACTACCCTTCCTCTAATGAAGTACTTCTGCAGCTTTGTCAAAAATCAGTTGGTTCTACTTGCATGGGGCTATTTATGGGTTCCCTATTCTGTTCCACTGCTCTATGTGTCTATACCACTACCTATACCACACAGTCTTAATTTTTGTAGCTACGCAGTAAGTCTTGTAAATCAAGGCAGAGTGATTGCTCCCAACTTATTCCTTTTCAAAACTGTTTTAACTGTTCTAGTTCCTTTGTCTTTTCATATAAGTATCAGAATAATCTTGTATATATCTACAAAGAATCCTGCTGGGATTTGGATGGGAATTGTGTTAAACCTGCATATCAATTTGGAGAGAACTGACATTTTACTATGTTGAGTCTTCCAATGCATGGAGATCTATGTCTCTCCATTTATGTAGTTGTTCACTGATTTCTTTCATCAGCATTTTATAATTTTCAGCATACAGATCTTGAACATCATTTGTTATATTTATGCCTAAGTATTTCATTTTCTTTGGAGGAATTATAAATGGTATTTTATTTTTTTAATTTTGGTTCCTCATATTCATAGTATACAGAAATATAATACAATTAATTTCTGTATATTTATTGTGTATCCTACAACCTAGATGAACTCACTTATTAGTTCTAGGAATTTTGTTGTAGATTGTGATTTTCTACATAGACTATGTCATCTACAACTAGGGACAGTTTTATTTCTTCCTTTCCAATCTGTATGTCTTCTATATCATTTTCTTGCCGTTCTATGCTGGCTAGAAGTTCAACACTATGCTGAAGAGCAGCAGTGAGGGCATAACTAGCCTTGCTCCTGATTTTAGGAGAAAAACATTCAGTCTTTCACCATGAACTGTAATGTTAGCTGTAAGGTTTTTGTAGATGTTCTTTATCTCGTTGATAAAGAACATCTTTATATCTTCATATAGTTGAAGGAACTATATCTTTATATAGCTGAAGGAATTCTCTATTCCTAGTTTTCTGAGAGTTTATCATGAATTGTTGAATTTTGTTAAATATTTTTCCACATCCATTGAGATGACCATATTAATTTTTTTTATCCTGTTTATATGATAGATTACATAGACTGATTTTTCAAATATTGAACCAGTCTTGCAAGATGGAATAAACCCTACTGGGCAATGGTGTGTAATTCTTTTTATATATTGTTTAATTCTACTGATGAATATCTTGTTAAGAACTTTCACATTGATATTGATGAAGGATACTGGTCTGAAGTACTGTTTTTATATACTCTCTTTATCTGGTTTTAGTATTGGGGTAATACTGGCTTCATAGAGTGAATTGGAAAGTGTTCTCTCCTATTTTCTGAAAAAGATTTGTGTAGAATTGATGGCAATTCTTTTTTTTTTTTTTAAAGAATTTATTTATTTGAGAGAGAGAGAGTGAGAGAGAGAGCCCAAGAGGGGGTAGGGTCAGAGGGAGAAGCAGACTCCCCGCTGAGCAGGGAGCCCGATGTGGGACTCGATCCCGGGACTCTGGGATCATGACCTGAGCCGAAGGCAGTCGCTTAACCAACTGAGCCACCCAGGCGCCCCGGCAATTCTTTTTTTTTAATTTAAAGATCTATTGTCCACAATAAGTGCCCGTGTAAAGCACTGTTGGAAATTAAAAGATTTGAGACAGACTCTATGTATTTGTTTTTAAAAAAATTATTATTGAGAGGTGCCTGGTTGGCTCAGTCAGTAGAGCATCCAACTCTTGACTGAAGGGTCATGAGTTTGAGCCCCATGTTGGGTGTAGAGATTACATTAAAATTTTTAAAAAATTTATTATTGAAATATAATTGACATACAATGTTATATTAGTTTCAGTTGTACAACATATGGGTTTGAAAATAATTTGTTAAAAATCTGGTAGAATTCTCCAGTGAAACCAATTCAGTCAGATTTCTTTTTTGGGAAAATTTAATTAATATTTACAGGGCTATTCAAGTTATCTATTTCATATTAGGTGTGTTGTGGTAGTTTGTAATTTTGAGAAATTGACCCATTTTGTTTAAGTTGTCAAATTTATGTGTGGAGTTGTTTACAGTATTCCCATATAATCCTTTGGATATCTGTAGGTACTATGGTGTTATTCCCTGCCTCATTGTTGATATTAGTAATCTGTGTATTCCCTATTTTCTTCTTTGCAGACTTTCTAGAAGTTTGTCAATTTTATTGTTCTTTGCAAAGAACCAGGTTTTTGTTTCACTAATTACTCTGTTATTTTTCTGTTTTCAATTTCACTGATTTTTGCTCTTTATTATTAATTCTTCACTTTGGTTTGCTGCAGGTTTAGCTTTCACCTCTTCTTGTTTCTTGAGGTGAAAATTCAGACGACAGATTAGAAATGTTTCCCCTTTTCTAATTTGAGCATTTAGTACTATAAATTTCCTTCTCAGCAATTTAGCTCCATTTCAGACTCTAATATACTGTATTTTTATTTTCATTTAGTTCCATGTATTTCTTTCTTTCTCTTGAGACTTGCTCTTTGACCCATGGATTGTATAAAAGTGCAGTGCTTTGTTATTTTCCAAGTATTTATTGATTTTCCTATTATCTTTCTGTTGTTGATTTCTAGTTTGATTCCATAGTGGTCTGAGAATATACTCTGTATAATTTTAATTCTCTTAAATTTATTGAGTTTGTTTTATGGTCCAGGATATGATCTATCATGTATATGTTCTGTGGGCATGTGAAAAGAACATATACTTTGCTCTTGTTGCATGTACTATTTTTTTTTTT